TACCTCAAAATTTTTTAATTTCACCAACTTAAATTTAGACACATCCGAAGGGCTTTGAAATGGACTTCACTTTTCTATTCCCATATTCTCATTCGGTATCAAATATATGTACAGTATACATTAGGCTAATTATGACCATTTGAATTTTATACATCACTGATTTAGAAATCGTGGCCTTCGTTTGCTGGAAGAACTACACATCCACCAAATGTTTTCAAGAATACAGAGGCATAATTTGTTCGCCAAGATTGAAGCGTCTCATCTAAATTTTTATTAGCGCAGTCTTGCTGATACTGTACATCGAAGCTACTAAATCTCAATAGGATGTCATGAACTACATAGCAAGCGGCAGATGAACAATACTAAAAAAGGGATCAATTAGAATCCATATTGTTCAGGAAAGTGTCTCACTGGCAAACATTCTTCGACATAGAATTTCAGCCAGACTTGAACCTAAAAATTTTTGATACATGAGTTTCAATTGGGCATAATATTGGTTGCACACGACACGAAACAAATGTATATAGCAATGAGAACAAACAACGTTAACAATCCTTTCAGCTACACTAACGTACGCATTCCGATATTTCATTATTTGAAATTCTCATTACTTCTCAGAACAACTATTGTCTCTGGGATAAGACGAAGACTGGTTGAAGAATATAAAGAAGTAGAACTGACAGTAAATTCAGATGCAAATATACATCTTCATTTGTTTTCAAAACATGATCTTTTAAAATATGGAGTACAGTACTTGTCCCTGTATAAGAACAATTCCTTTGCTAGCACAGCACTGTATTCTTGTTATGTAAACGCAGTTTCTCAAAACATTATACTGTACAGTATCCTTTAAATGAGGATCAGAGAATATTCAATCTCCCTGGCTGTAAAATCTACTTGCGTCTAATGTAAGAAATTCAGGAAATAACTGGAAATTACAATCAAGCCCCAATTAAGTGCCACCATTTGTGGCACTAAGCAAGGGTGGCAATAAATTGAGGGCATTGTGTAAAAGAGAGGTCTAGTTCAGGGTTGACATCATAGGAAAAATAGGCTTGTTTACAGAATTTCGAGGCCAGTCAGGGTGTTTTAAAAGAGAAGGCCAAAATAAATAATACTGTACTACGCAAGGTACATTTTTCATATTTCATTTCAAACTATGTATCATAGCAGAATGGATTAGACTTTTAAAAATATGACACCTAGTCAAAGATAAC